CTTTCCAGGCCTTTGTCTGGGTGATTCTCAGCCCACATTAACTGAGAGAGTCCCTTTGGTTCTGTCCAGTCCTGCAGATGCCAGTCCCAGGCTCTGGAAGTTCTGGATATGCTGTGTTTCCTTCTGGTCTCCTCAGCCAGTTGCACCAGCGTCACATAACGAGGAAAAACAAGCTCCCCCTGGTCCTTACTCCTGTTTGGGTTCTCTGCTTATTCAGGAAAAGGGTTACATTACCTTTTTATGCAAAGGCATCACACCAGGACCTCATGTTCTGTTATTTTTCTACTACTATGAATCCTTGATCTTTTCCAGTCACTGCTTTCAAAGACAGTATTCCATTCTGCTGATGAAGTACTTCACTTACATCTGCTCAGACCTAACAAACACCCCAGAACTGGAGGTCCATCAATGTTGTTGAAAATACTTGTTTGAATTATCATTTAAGCAGTCATATCCCTTCCTCATTCGGATGTTGCAGAACATAAATAATAAGAAACCATTCCAAAGAAATCTGCATTGCAGTCATCATCAAAGTGAGTAAATAAAGAAAAGCTGACAGGACCTCTCACAGAAAGCAAATCACTGTGATCTTCACAGAGAAAGGTGAAGGATTTCTTTTCCTTCTTTTCTTTTTAATAGAGCTTTTCTTCTAGATTCAGAGCCTTTCATGTTAAATTCAATATTTTTAGCACCCACACGACCATCTAGAATTAAATTGCAGCAGTTCCTTAGCATCTGAGTAAGAAAGCAATGATAGATCACTGTGATTCTCCTGTCCTTGTACAGAATCAAAGAATCATTTACTAATAGACTGAATTGCTTCCAAAAGCAGAAATCACACAGCTCCATCTTGTGGAGGATGAGATTCCTTGTGTAATGTCACAGCTCCGTTCAACTTCTGCCTTTGGTAATGATTTAGCCTTAGGTGTTTTTCCATATAGGATTTTACTGACTGCAGAAATTTTCTTTCATGTGCAGTTTACACACCTTCACCAAGAGCAGGAACAATCTGCACAGTGTTTTTACTTATATTTTTCTGTTTCATTTTATTTTCCCAGAACATTCTCCCAAACAGGTCCATGCTTCAACAGTTCATGTTTGTACCAAGTGATGCAGAACCAGCTATTTAATTTTTCTTCTGTTCTCCTGTAAGAGGTTGAATACCTTGCAGAAGTGTCCTCAGTGAACACACCATACATTAGTACTAAAAATGTTTGATTTTCAGCCCAGTGGTCCTTCTTAGCAGGAAGCATTTGCAATGCAGTTTAGATGACACAAAAATGCAGAGCAGCAGAGTTTGTCTCATTTGAGTAACACAGAACCCTAATCTGTAATGTTTCCATAATCCAATGCTATTAAAGTAAGCCATGTCAGAGGAACCAGGTAACTTTCCACAACAAAAAATGGCTTCCTGGATTCTGGAGACAACTGCGGGATTGCTCCTTATTCCCTTGTTACAGAATCAGTTCCTACCAAGAGCTTCAGAAGGGATCACACTCCAAAACCATCCATGTCACCATAGGCACTCCACACAAACCATACCTGTGCCATGCTATCAAGAAAACTTTAATTCTTATATTTTTGACTGTACATTTTACTTAAGGAGAGCATATTAAAACAAGTTTATCACCAGAGGTCTACAAACTGCAATTCCCCAAGGTAACAGCAAGTAACTCACTGCAAAGGCTTCACAAGATGTTTTGATGTTTCGAACCCTACTTTTGTTTGGAGCAGAAGGTATTTCTCAAAAGTCTGATGTAACACTCCTCTATCAGATGCTCCCAGCCCACATTCAAGAAGTTTTATGAAAAAGCAGCGAGTAATGTGACTCCTGGGACTGCTCACAGGTGACTCTGGGAACTTATTTCCCATTAATTTACGACTGAAATGTGTGAGGGGTCAAAAATGACCGCAAACATTCCCTCAAGTCTTCTAATTTAATTAAAAGGATAAATGATCCTAAGTATTTTCATGTTTTTAATTAGTTTTAAATTAATTTTCAGTGTGAGAGCCAGAAGTCCTAAGAGAGAAAGTAAGGAATTGCTCATAGGAGCTTCTACCAGATCTGCATGATGAATGTCAACACAATGACCAAAACCAGCTGCTTATTAAAATACTGGTTTGGACTACAACAGTCTGAGACTGTCTGAATCAACACATATAGGCAAAAAGAATGCAGTAGAGAAAAATGTCCTTAAAATAATCCAAACCCTGTGTTTTTAACTAACATGCTGGGACTTAAGGGGGGAAAAAACAGAATAGCATCTTGATTGTTTCCCTACAAAGGATATTCCATGCCCCTATTGAGATGATTCATCACCACTTCACTCCCCTGAATTCATCTTCCATACTGAGAAACATTATGGCATTTCTCTCTCCTGGTAGAAGTCAAAATAGCAACTCTCTAGATATGAGTGACAAGAAAAAATACCTCATCTCTTGTGCTAACACTTCTTTATTGTACGAAATTTCAGGAACAGTGTTGACTTGATTTCTTTTTATTAAGTCTTGAAGTGATTTTTGTTTCCCTGAGAAGCATTAGTATTTCTCTGAAACACTGAAAACCAAAATCTTCAGAATGGATGAAGAAAAAGAAGCAAAGGAAAAGGCCTTTCAAGGTTCACATCCCACCCCACCAAGAGCTGTCAGTCCTGACAAGGAACAGCTCCCTGTGCCCGTGGGTGGATGCCCCAGTTCATCTGTACCCAGGCAGCCTTTGGGCTGTGTTGCAGAACCTGCCAAGGAGGTTGGCAATTAGTGCCAATCAGGCCAGGTTTGTCTGTGATATGGACACCCAGGCAGGAGATACTGGGCTGATCCTATCAAACCACTTTGCACCCATATCTAAAGACCCTGTGTGTGACTCTATGTAACCTTCAGTTACTCCCAAGATTAGCCACAGAGACATTGAAAACATATTCCTTCATCAAAAAAAGCTCTCCATTGTACAGCTTTTAGCTGGAAGTTCTCTTGGGCTTTTCAAGGAAGTGCCAAGAGATACTGCCAGAAACACAAAGTCATTTGTCCAATAGGGCTACAATTATTTCATTCCCCAAAAGTAGGAGATTAAAAATTATGTTAATTAGGATAAATATTGAGAAAGTATTAAAGCATTATTACAAGGCAAACCAAGCAAAAAAGAGTTGCTGACTATTACAACTGCTACTTAAATACTTCATAGTGATACTCTGTGCTGCATATGGTGCTTAGAAGCTGCATAATTACACACATTTATTCATCCTTAACCTATGTATTTTCATTACTTTGGCGCATACCATTAAATTTGAAATGTTATCAAAACATGGCATTGGAAATAATTTAGTATTTCCTATTTCAGACCAAAAAAAACAGATTATTAAGTGCTACCTATGAGGAAGGTCATTCTAGTTAAAAACAGGACAAAGTATGGCACAAGCACCCAAATCTGCTTGTTCCCCAGTTGTCTATTTATCTATTCTTTTTCCAGTCCATGTGTGTTTTGAATAAGGCATTAAAAGTGTAATCCTGATTTCCCTGGTAATCTAAATGGGAGATTTGGCTGCAGGAGAAATCAAACCTCAGCTTTAGGGCAGAGAGAAATAAAAAGTAAAATGCCTAGAAGACTTTGCAGGTAAGCAGTTTTAGTATAAAGGCTCTTGTTTTATTATGCATGGAGTATGATTCTTTGGATTCTAAAGTACTTTAATCAATGTTCAAGGGTTTTTAAGAACCTCATTATATATCTCTTTTGCAGGATTATGAATATTTGCAAATGAGGTCACGTAGTAAAGCTTCAAAGGCTAAAAAGTTAGATCAAGATATATTTTCTAAAACTCTTCAAAATATTTCAAAATCAGAAGTGCTGCCCAATATACATTGCCACATTCAGTGTCAGCATTCTCTTTGAATTTTAGCAACATCTTTTTTTAATATACATATTACTCTTCTTCTTCCTCACTGTTTTCCTATGATGATGATTACATCTGCACCATTTTATCCAAAAGTAAGCAGTAAGAGTTTAATTTAAATAAAATTAAAATAGAGGTACAAAATTAAAGCTCCATATACTAAAGACTGAGCTGATGAATTTAATTTAATTTACTAAGCAAGAGTGTGCAAGGATTAATAAATATAATTAGATTATGGTTGAGCACCTCTACGGCAGTTTTGTAACTATCCCTTCTAAGGAGTTTTCTGTTTATTAGAGGAACCAAAAAGAACCAAAGCTGGATCAACAGGGACTTCATAGATTTATAAAAGTATTTTAGAGTTACAACTTCAGTTTTCTAAATTTGTGTATGGTGGGTCACTCAGTATTTTGCATAGGTGAATGTATTCGGTGTTCAGGTATATTTTATATATATTTATATATTGTATATATATACTTGTACAGGGTGGAGAAGAGTGAGAAGTTCTGTGAAAAGTCTCTAGAGGGGAGAGAGTGGTTGGTAACAGCAGAAAGAAAGATGGGAAGACAGATTTGGTACATTCAGAGCATGACAAAGAAGGCACAGCAGAAGAAAAAATACTTACCCATAATGAGTTATTAATGGTACTGAAATTGTACCATTCATTTGTTAAAATGAGTATGCTTGACTGTAGATTTTCTTGTCAGTCTATATATTTTGATTATATGCACCACACAGCTCAGCAGTAAATTACTGCAATTAACTTTGATTCCTTAGGATCCACAGCAGAAGCATATCCACGTCTCGTGGTAGAATCTACAATTCAACTCTGAATTCTTGTCTAAAGTGCTTGTGCAAAGCAAGTGGTTACTTTGAAAAGTGCTGGCAAACTTCAGCAGAAATTCTACAGAGATCTAAGGCCATAATGGTTGTTAAATTTCTCGTAAGAAAAAAACTTTCTAAAAAAATCCAGAGAAAATTTAGTATATCCATCACAGTAAAGTTTGGAGAAGAGTTGAACAGCTTGAGGTAATTTCTTAACAAACACCTTATGCACTCAGCCACCATTTTTGTGCACTAAATACAGACACTTCAATGAGAATCTTAGCTTACAGATAAGATGTTTTCCATGCTGTTCCTTTGAAATTTGAGTAGCACATCCCCTGTGAAAGCAGCACTGTTCCATCTGTGCAGCTCTAGAGTCAGACACTTCCCCTCACAACAGATCTGCGGAGCTCGCTCGCTTTGGGCTGGGGGAGTACAAAAGAACTTGACACAAAACAAACTTCAAATAATCAGACACAAGATGCAACTGTCTAGAAGAAAATTATAGCCCTGCTTTGGTGAGGACAAACCACAAATCAAGTGTCAGCAGAGGCTGGGACAGGGAAGAGACAAAATATAAGAACGAAGGGAACTAAGAGAGACTCCCCCCAGTAGAAGATCTGCCAGGAGATAGAGAGTAACACAACAACTCACCCTCTGGATTACATTGGACAGTATGAGAACAGTCAAGACAGACATTTGTTTCTGCTAAAGAACTCTAAGAGTTCCCATGTATGACACATGCTCTTGGGGTCTTGCTTTCATAACTTCCCAGTGAACTACTGGGCAATTCCCAGCGCTGAATGAATTTAACTTACAAAATAAGTGTGCTTTTGTGATTTGTAAAAGTTACTGAGTGGAACTATTAATTGTGGCAATATCACTAGAGTATAATTTAGAAAATAATAGAGATAGTAGAAATAATGGAGAATTTTGTCATAACTCACAAATCCTGTGAATAGATTATTTACAGGCAAGAGACAGTAGGAACTGGACCAAATCTACTTGTCACTACTTGCTTTTGATATCACAGTAGAGTTCAGAAACCACAAGTAGCACTTGGTCCTGTTTTGTTAGTGCACAAACACGAAGGATTTTACAAGCTGTGACACCACTTACTCCATTTGACTCCACTCTGAAGAACAGCCAGCAAAATTAAAAATGTCCACACATCCCAACCACTCACAGCTCAAAGTGTGGTCTGGGTGCATGAAGACAATGCCCTGGGAACTGAAATGGCCCTGGCACACTTCCATGTGCCACTCAGCTCCAAATGTGGGGCCACGATAATGGTGGTTTTTAACATTGCCAAATTCTTCACTCTGGCTTTGACAAACACAGCAAAGCCATGGCTAAGATAGCTGCTCCCTTCCCCCCAATACATCAACAAATACCCCCTGCAGCTCCTTAATAAAGTTAACTTGCACCATTCATCTGGTAAATAAAACCCCTTGGAAAATGGAAACAATGAGGAAGCAGCCCCATGCATATTCAGAGAGTTGTAATTGCTATGGAAACCATCTCTAGTAATAGAGTCTTGCTTCAGAGCATCACAGGCAAATCAGAATAAAATGACAGCAAAACAAAGTGTAATACTGCCTGAGACTTCAAAGTCCAAAACTGAGCAGGGAACTAAGCCACTGTGAAGGAAAAGCCTTCATGTTCTCCCATCTTCCAGGTTCTTTTTGGAGCATATTTATGGGGATGAGCTCTTTGGTTTGTTTTCTGCCTGGGCTTCCCAAATTGCTGCTGAAGTAGCACTGAGGGCTGGCAGCATCACTACAGTTGTTACAGGAAAAGGAAACTGTTTCTTCAGCCTATAAGTAATTGTAATTTTACTATTAGAAATTTTGGGCAGCTTGAAAACATGTAACTCCACTCTAGCAATGCTGTTTGTTTTCAAGCCTCAAAAAGACTGATAATAGGGTCAAAGAGGGTAACAGGGTCAAGGATTCCGAGGTCATTGATGGCAGCAATTAGCTTTAATTTATTTTATTTTAGATTTTAGAACATTATATGCCTTGCTTTCATTTCTTTTATATGAAATATTCTCAATTTATTTTACTGTATTTGTACTACATGAACATGTCAATGGGTAGTTCAGAGTATTTTAAACATTGCATGTCATTTCCTTGCAGCAGGTTGCCCACTGATACACCAGAGCTTATCCCACTACTGTTCCTAATCAACCCCAACACCTATTTCTGAGTTTCATCATACCAATTTTCAATGTATTTGCTGAATAAAATTAGTAAATGCAATATGCCTACACCTACTAGTCCAAATTATGTCCAAGGTCATTCCTGCAGATGCACTAGCCTTGATTCTCTCTGGGTACAGAATTCCAAGAAAGAAACCAACTCTGCTATTATTTCAGAAGTACACTACATGTCAAACACCAAACACTCACTTTTCTTTTTTTCAGGTACATCCCATCCCATTACAAGTGCATAAAGCAAAATTCCACAAACATTTGATTTATTTAAGACTTAAAGTAATAAGCCATTATTGGAGTTGTTTATAAGCATCAACTTATGCTTTTTAAAAAGTTACTTGAACTGAAAATTCCACACACGTGCCTGTGAACAGTTGTAACAAGGATTTTGGTTTATGGTCATGTGAGCTTTGCCTTTTCTACTTTTTTTTGTTGTTGTTGTTGTTGTTGTTATGTTCTTCTAAGCCATAGAGACCAACCAACTTCCCATGAAAAACAAACTCTAGGAAACACCTGTTTTCCACGTTACAATCAATCAGATGTGAGCAAACAACCACATTTTGTCAAGCAGAGCACAGGATGCAAATTTTGTTCTATCATTCTTCTTATAACCAGGAGGCAAACAATAACTATTCTCACATAATGCCATTTGCTTTAGCATTAATCCACCCATATTTCTTTGCTGAATGTGAACAGACAATCCTGCCCTGTGATCACACCCTTTTCTTGAGAGCTGTTGTCAGTCACAGAGCTCAGTTTATCACACCCTGGGCTTTCTGGAGACAAGGGGACCAAAACAGACAGCAAGTTACACACATGATGAAACTCATTTGTGCACAACCCAAAATAATGTTTGCTTCTAAAAATTATTTCAGAAGAAGAAAAGATTTGTGTATAAAACATAAAAAATTTAGCACCAAGGATATTGATTTTGCTTCTCTAAAATCCTCCTCTGGGATATCACCAAAGTTACCAAACTAATGTATTAAAAAAAAATTGCAAACCCCCCCCCCCCCCACTTCTGGTAGCACTTAGAACATTCTGCTTTTCATCAATATGTTTTTCACTTAGGGTCAGGAAACACAAAATCTTCAACTAAAATTGCAAAACCAGATCTGCATTGCCACTACTGTACAACAAATCTACACTGGTCACCATGGTGCAAATGTTTGCAGGTTGAAATATTCCCCATTGCATCATCAACTGCTGCTTCTTTTGTTCATAGCAAAGGAGGACATTTGTAAAATTACTTCTTTTACATGCAAAGCTAAACACAGCTGAGTGAACATGACCACGTCCCTTAGAAATGTATGATAGAGTTGAATTTAAGTAACATATTAAAACACTTCATCTATCTGTCATTTTTATATATGGCTACAATAAAGAAACCCCATTGCATTTCATAACTTTTTCATCTAGAAACCATTAAAGTGGGATATTCTACCCAGTCACCATGTGTATTATTTGTACAAATAGAGGGGGGGGAAATCAAAATTAAAGTTGTTCAGGGTACTGAAGTATAAACTGTACATATATATTTTTAAAGTTTTAAACCCAGCCTTGTAATTGTGAATTTAAAAAAAAAACAAACCTGTGGAAATAATTAACAGCTGCTAAGTTCAATTCTGATTTACTTAAGACAAAGCACATTGAACAAACACACTTGTATGGCAATTATACCTCAGGGGGAAAGGAATGGGAAGGAGTCAGGAATTCCAGGGTCTCCTGGTCTGTGCAGAGCCAGCGTGGGATGAGAACTTACCTTCCCCTTACTAATGTCCCCTATCCATCAGACTAGAGCCCAGATCAGTTCTTTTATTGGAGTCCATTTTTAACCCAGCAAAAACATGTCATATTTAATTTTTACAATAGCTCCACTGAAGAAGAGTAATTAGGTTTTCTTTTCTAGGGGTAATATTTTTGAACATATAAAGAATGTCCTGTATGGTGACTGCTGGAGAAAAATCTATTACAGAAAGTGCCCCCCTCAGAACTACATGCTTTAAGAACATGAATAAGTGGCTAAAAAATGGATTATAAAAAATTCCCAGATTATGGAACACATTTTTTTCAATTTCTTATGTGTATTTCTATATACAGACAAATACTGGTATTTCAAACAACAAACGAAATCAAAGACACAATAAAAAAATCCACAGAGTGGGAAATCTCAGCACGTTTTCACAGCTGAAAATAAGGAGTTTTACTTAAATACAAAATAAGTTTTATGTAACTTATCTGAATATTGGTTTTCCTCTCCCAGGAAGTCCTCAGCTCCTTACATGATCAGTAACAAAAGTTAATTAATATCACACAAAGGAACTTCACTAGTTTTCAGATAAGGCTGTTGTTATTACACAAATGGGCAGATTAATGACTTAGTCATGATTTTTGCATTTTTCTCTTCCACAGTAAGGGCTAATAGCTTGTCAAAATTAAAATTAAAAAAAAAAGTAGTTGTCCAAAGTGTATCATAAAGATTAATATTAATATTAATATTGGTGATCCCAATAATGAGTGAGGCAAATAATCATCCCCCCTCCAGGGATCTGTTCTATTGCACTACCAGACAATTAACCTGACTTTCATCTACTGTCAATATGATGAAATAAATAGGTCTGTTAATGCTTTTTTAAAAGATCAAGTAAATGTCTTTCTTGAGGTTGATAATGGGCTGCACTGACCATCTCATATCATCCATCAGCTTGAAAGCAGCCTGTAATTTGTGTGTGTTTGTAATTCTATATGGAATGAATCTCCTCAAGTTACTCCAGGTGTTAAGTACACATAACACAAGTTTTAATATGCTTAGAATTAAAAGCAAACCTTGATTGTTGAATACAGAAATGTATTCATGCACTCCCCTCAATATCATTCTCCTGGCTTATTATTCCCAACTCAAACATTACATAGCTAATTTTTAGACAAATTTTATTTATCCTGTTCCTACACAAGTTATTTTTTGTGGGTACATGAATAAATATTACTCTAATGTTTTGGAAAGAAAAATTGCACAAAATTGAATTGCAAGATTTAGGACTAAATTCTGGTCTTCTAAGGTAACAGATGACAGCCCTCTGCTGGTTAATAATTGTGTGCCCACAAGAAGTACATTTCTCAACAGCTTTACATTAATACTATATTTAGCCAAAGTGAAAATATATAAAAATATATATATAGTACAAAAAAATATCACACTACAGAGATGACTGAAATATTTTAGCTGGACCATTAGAAAACATATTCTTTCTAATTCATGTAGGAAACAGGAGGTCAAGGAAATGGCTGGTTCCTAAATTATATGGACAATTCTATAGAGTACTGGAATTCCTCAAAGAAGTAACCTTATAGGCTACAGATTTCCATACAGGATTCAAAAATTGTAAGAAATGTTAATGGTAATCATCGTGTTATTGTGTAAGGCTTTGTTTTGGTCAGTAAAATCCATAAAAATGAAATGTTGTTCAAATAAAAACTACTTTTCTGACATTTTTGTGATCTAAAATAAGAGTTAAAAGCAAACATCATAGAGCTTACTAGCAGCCAGCTAAAAATGAGTACCAAAGCATGGTATTTGGTACAACAGTCAGCAATATGATCCAGTTTGCAGGTATCAGCATAAAATTCAGAAATATGAAACATGTATGAGAAAAATTAAGAATAGTCCCCGTATTTTATTAATTTTTTGCCAATTTCTAAAGACTTGTTTTCTACTTTGCCCTGAGACTCTGTACTGCCTTTTAAAATACATAGATAGATAGATAGTAAATAATTTCAATTTTTCCTGTGTTAATTTAAAATATTCTGTAGCATAATTCTGACCATGTGGCAAATTCACAAAGAAGGCATTGCAAAGTGCATCTTCATTAACAGTGTCAGCTTGAACAAGTCTGCAGTAAAAGAACATGCTGGCAGCTGTACACCCTTACTTAGAAAAACACCAAAACCCAAAAGAAAACCCTCTGCAGATGCCAACACGTGACAGTGTGAAACAAAGAACTGAAACTATTCATTTGAATGTATTTGACAGTTGACTCAATGCCCTGATAATGGCATTTTACCAACAGAATATTGAAAGAAGTAACTGGAATCAACACCCAGTGTAAATAGGTCCCTTCCAACCCAAACCCTTCTGTGATTTTATGATTCTGGGATGCTCAGCTGAACTGCAGGGGAACTCAGAGCAGTGTCCTTCACCTCCAGCTGCCTCTGGAAGCTGGTCTAAGGAGTCCTTCACCCCTACGGGCACACACAAAATAAATAAAGCCCTTGGGGACCAAGGAAACAGTGAGGAACTGATGGATTGTGTGAGGAATGCGGGATAAGTTCAGTCAAGTGTTGTTTTGCTGCTTAAGAAATTAGCTTACAGATGCCAGGTGAGAAGTAACAGAGTCACGGAATATCCTGAGGCAGACGGGACCCACAAGGATCATCAAATCCCATCTCTTAGCCCTGCACAGGACAACCCAAATCTCACCATGTCCCTGAGAGCGTTGTCCAAACACTCCTTGAGCTCTGTCAGCCTTGGGGCCGTGACCACTGCCCTGGGGAGCCTGTTCAGTGCCCGACCACCTTCTGTGGCGACGAACCTTTTCCTAAGATCCAACTTAACCTCCCCTGACACAACTTCGGGTCATTCCCTCGGGCCACGATAAACACATAACAAAAAAGGTGAAGACCGGCTAGCTCACCCTGACACTGGGCGCTCACACGGCCCACACGAGGAGAATCGGAGGCGCAGCTCTTGTGGGGAGCAGGTGGGTTCTGTCCCCCATCACTTTCCATGCCGGGGGCTCTGGATTCTCCAGTCCTTCCTGTCCCTGCTGTCCCAGCTCCCCCTCCTGTCCCTTCTGTCCCTCCTGTTCCTCCTGTCCCAGCTCTCTCTCCTGTCCCAGCTCTCCCTCATGTCCCAGCTCCCCCTCCTGTCCCAGCTCCCCTTCCTGTCCCAGCTCCCCCTCCTGTCCCAGCTCCCCCTCCTGTCCCAGCTCCCCCTCCTGTCCCTGCTGTTCCTCCTGTCCCTGCTGTCCCTCCTGTCCCA